GCAACGAGATCTCATCTAGTTATTATTATTTTTCTTCCAACCGATTTTGTGCAAGCGATTTCTCAGAGATGGCTCGTCCGATTTATACCAAACTTTCAGACCTGAAAGATATTCAATTGATCTTGATAGGTTTTTTTGCTTTTTGATGATCTCACTTCCGGTCGTGAGATATGGTCGATTTTCTGATTTTCAGAGGGTCGGCTTGTCCAGGAAACTCCTCCGAAACGACTAAAGATATCGACTTAAGATTTTCAGTGAAAGTAAAGGAAGGTTTGGTGAGTTGTAATTGGGTCTCCAAATCTTTCTAGCGCAAAAGGCGCCGGAGCTCGGTAGGGCCCGAAAAAATGTCTCAGAAATATCTCACAAAATTTGACACATTTTGTTTCATATCTTCATACGCGTTCATAATTTGTTAAAGCATATTGAAGAAAAAATGAGCAAAATCACAAGGCCTTTCATTTGATGTCAAAAAAATGGGGCTGACCCCTCAAATTAGGGGCTCAGAGAGGCCGAAAGTCTTTTATCTATAACTCTCTAATGAACAATATTTTGTTATACATTACTGAAGCAAAAGTATTTATCTTAACTATTTGCAACAATATATGATACAATTTTGATCATATGTTACGTAATTAGGGGTCACCAGGGGCCAGAATGTCAAATCTTTGACGCTTCATATCTCGAAAAGGGTGAATATTTTGATAAGCAATATTGAACAAAAGATGGCTAGATTAATGTGCTAAACAATATGCATACTTTGAATTTTTGTAAAACGGCCCCATTAAGGACTTGTAGGAGTGGCCCCTAAATATTTATATAAAGCATATCTCCTAAACGAAAAGAAATCTCTGAATAGGTGTAGAACAAAAAGTCTTTGAAATCACAAGACCTTTCGTTTGATATCAAGAAAAAGGGGCCGACTCCTCAAATTAGGGGCTGAGAGGGGCCAGAAGTTTTTCATCTTTAACTCTTTAATGATCAATATTTTGTGATGCATTACAGAAGCAAAGATGTTCATACTAACCATTTGCAACAATATATGATAAAATTTTGATCATATGTTACGTAATTAGGGGTCACAAGGGGCCAGAATGTCAAATCTTTGACGCTTCATATCTCGAAAAGGGTGAATATTTTGATAAGCAATATAGAACAAAAGATGGCTAGATTAATGTGCTAAACAATATGCATACTTTGAATTTTTGTAAAACGGCCCCATTAAGGACTTGTAGGAGTGGCCCCTAAATATTTATATAAAGCATATCTCCTAAACGAAAAGAAATCTCTGAATAGGTGTAGAACAAAAAGTCTTTGAAATCACAAGACCTTTCGTTTGATATCAAGAAAAAGGGGCCGACTCCTCAAATTAGGGGCTGAGAGGGGCCAGAAGTCTTTCATCTTTAACTCTTTAATAATCAATATTTTGTGATGCATTACAGAAGCAAAGATGTTCATATTAACCATTTGCAACAATATATGATACAATTTTGATCATATGTTACGTAATTAGGGGTCACAAGGGGCCAGAATGTCAAATCTTTGACGCTTCATATCTCGAAAAGGGTGAATATTTTGATAAGCAATATTGAACAAAAGATGGCTAGATTAATGTGCTAAACAATATGCATACTTTGAATTTTTGTAAAACGGCCCCATTAAGGACTTGTAGGAGTGGCCCCTAAATATTTATATAAAGCATATCTCCTAAACGAAAAGAAATCTCTGAATAGGTGTAGAACAAAAAGTCTTTGAAATCACAAGACCTTTCGTTTGACATCAAGAAAAAGGGGCCGACTCCTCAAATTAGGGGCTCAGAGGGGCCAGAAGTCCTTCATCTTTAACTCTTTAATGATCAAAATTTAGTGATGTATTATAGAAGCAAGATGTTCATATTAACGATTTGCAATGATACATTATAAAATTTTGATCATATGTTACGTAATTAGGGGTCACAAGGGGCCAGAATGTCAAATCTAGGACGCTTGATATCTCGAAAAGGGGGAAAATTTTGATAAGTAATATTGAAGAGAGGATGGTCAGAATAATGTTTTAAACAATATGCATACTTTGAATTTTGGTAAACAGGCCCCACTAAGGACTTGTAGGGGTGGCCCCTAAATATTTATATTAAGCATTTCTCCTAAACGAAAAGAAATCTCTAAACAAGTGTATAACAAAAGTCTTTGAAATCACAAGACCTTACGTTTGACATCAAGAAAAAGGGGCCGCCTCATCAAATTAGGGGCTCAGAGGGGCCAGAAGTCTTTCATCTTTAACTCTTTTGTAATAAGTATACATTTTGAGAAGCAAAGATATTCATGTTAACGATATGCAACAATATGTTATAATATTTTGATCATATGTTACGTAATAAGGGATCGCCAGGGGCCAAAATGCTATATTTTTTATGCTTTACGTCTCGAAAAGGGGGAGTATTTTTATAAGCAATATTGAACAAAAGATGTTCAGAATATTGGATAAAAAAACAGAAACTTTAAATTTAATGAAGAAAAACTTAATGTCATTCTCTTTTAACGATTATCTCAGTCAAAATCACATCTCATCTTAGCTAGAAATTCAACGGAAGACCTACTCGTTGCTCGCAACGAGATCTCATCTAGTTAAATTAATTATTACTGATAAAAATTTTGTCAAAATTGTTAGCAAAGGAGAAATGTTAAATGAGTTACAGTGTAAGCATTTGTAATATGGAGATATGCAGAATGCAGTTACAGTCGGAACTGTTTATAAAAAATAATATGATAGAAAAGTATTACTGATCAAATCAGCAAAAACAAGAATACAAGTTTTAAAAAAAATTGATGCATTATCATTTTTGTGAAGATAAATATTAATATTTTACATGTTAAATCATTTTCAATTGTAATAATGATAATGAGGCATATATTCATTTACTTCATCTGTGGCTCCACCATGCTCCAGTAGCTGACCAACTACATGATGAATCAATGACATATTTCGATTCCTATGATGCAGCAATATGGCTGCTGACGACACCAAGGCCACTGGTTCTGTAGTGTTCATAATGTCTGATAGCAATTGGGAAAAACCAGGAGCTCTTTTCCTCAATTCAGTAGCAATCTCCTGAAAATCTACAGAAGCCAAACAATCAGGAGAATTGCCTCGCAAGACAGATGCATCCTTCTTGCCACAAAGTAACCTACATTCTTCTTTCACATATTTTGTTATTGTTTTGAAAGCTTTTTCTTTGAAGCCTTTTGATTTTAATAGTTTGTTTAAAATAACTTCTGGTTTATTGCCTCGAACAAGTCCAACAACTACACCATAAAGCCCCTTTTCTTTGATAATTCTTGATCTCACTTTCTGGTCATTCTGACCTCTATAGGACACCTACAAATGTATAATCAATGTAAATTTAAATGAACAGTTGCACTTTCTTCAACTCTATTGTTTCTCACTTTATCATGTTTATAAGAGTAAATCAATATATTTTGCTGATTCCCTGAAAATCACTGTAAACGGACTGATTCCCTGCAAAAAAGTGTGACAGTCTGATGAACTGATACACACCTATTTGGAACACTAAGCAATTTCTTTTAATTTATATATGAAAAGTTCTAATGTGTTCCAAATAAACAAGTAAATATTCATAACGCAGCTATGTTAATGCTTTATAACAAGGTGGCGTCTAATTTATACGGTAAAAGTTATGCCACTTGTATTGTGATATCAACATAGCAAACTGATGTGCACCGAGTTCTTTAATGACTGTTGTTGTTATGATTTTATATTAATTCGTGTTATAAACTTGGACACTTGAATTAAAATTAAACACTGTTATTACAGCATTGATTTTAAAATTTTTCAAATTTCTTGTTTGTATCGGTATAATAAACCATTTAAGTATGAGGGAGTTGGCAAGAATCCAGTTCCCCTCGAGCAAGCCTATTTCCCTAGGTGCAAGCACAAAAATTGACAGATATAACTCAATATTCATTATGCAAATCAAAAACAAACCTTTGCTTTCAGTGGTGATAATAAAAGATGTCCTAAACGCTTTCTGGATGAAGGGGCAGCCGAAATTATTTTCCGTGGAGTGACTTGGACCTTAAATTTTCTTGGGGTAGGTGTGTGAACAATTGTCCTCTTTGTCCGAGTTGTACACTTCGTCGGAGTGGCAAGAACTTTACTACTCGTAGGCAAGGAAACGCTATTGTGATCTGAGGAAATTCCGGTTGATGTTTTAAATGTCGAAGTCGAGACTTGTCTCGAAGAATGTAAACCATGTTTATATCGCAGTTCTTGCAATATGGAAGACTTTTCTGCTTCTAGTGCCTTAAGTTTATTTTCTAAATCATAGTCAATTTTTTCCAATTTATTTAATTTGTTGAAGCATGGGTAACACACGTACCTGGATAGACTGTCATTTTCACACGGGCTGTGATTTAAAACTTCCGACAGTTGTTTAAAAACCTTGAACGAAGGTGAAAATATAACCCTACGAAATTTCTGTGGTAATTGTTCCCCGCACAATCGACAAAGTTCCATCTTAAGTCATACAGAAGATAAACACATTCTTACACATGGTTTTGATCGCCATCTTGTTTATGAATGAAAACTGTATTTTCATTGGTTCAGAGGTTCGACCTCTGAACCAATGAAAATTTGGCCACAGTTTTAGTGGCGTAATCTGCCAAGGGTTTGTGGGGAGTGTTACGGACCGAAAACCCTTGGCTTGCGAAGATGATATTCAGCTAAAATTTCATTTTTGGGAAACCATGATTCGTTTTGGAGTTAAAGAAAACATTTTGGGGGAATCAACTTAATACTTTTGTGTGAAGATACTCTTACACTTATTATTCAAATCATTCTCCTATAAATCTGATGACATGTAATAATCTCATAAAGATCAATGCATTATTTGAAACCCATCAGCATTATCACAAACATTTAAATATATCTGTAAGCATTGAAATTTTAAAAGTATTGAAGCAATGACGGAAACATATGCATTCAAAATCTTCTCATCTAAATGTGTGTAGGATTTAAAATCCATATTCATTTTGACAATTTAATATAAAAATGTTATATGACATGAATTAAACAAATCCATTTCATAATGAAAATTTACACAACCTCTATAACATTCTTTCAAAGCTTGAAATGCAATTTTAAGTTGTACAGTATTGAAATTCATTTTGAAACTGACATTTTTATTCTATATACATTGTTGATCGTCCTTGCTCGGACTCGTTACCTACTACACGTACCCTAATTTCTTCGTTCTTTACAGTCTTAGATTTAGCACTTCCTCTTCTGTATAGCGCTTTAAGGCCTCCTCCCCGCGGTGGAATGTCTGGTTTATTAAATTCAGATATGTTAACATAAACAACTTTTTCATTATATTGACAAAACAGACATTCACTGTTTTTTGACTCTTCATCACTTAGTCCTGAATCTGAGCTCTCCATTGACAATCTCCTTTCACACGATTTGCTATGTTCTAATGGCTCTTGGAAACCCTTGTTTATGAATTCATGAGATGCATCCATTGACAAATGCAACTTTGTATCTTGTAATCCATCGAAGACATATGCGAAGTGTGCATTGTGTACACTTTCGTGCTCATTTGTAGAACTTCTAAATATCCCATCAAGAGCGGAAACATAAGAGAGACGATCAATATCCGATCCTGTTCCAATGCTATCTGTGTTTGATCTATCGTCAAAGAATACAGAAATATAGTGTGGCTCAAGGGAAGAGGAGTGTTTTGATGTACGAAATTTAGTCCACCTTTTTCTACTATTTACCTCTTCTCTTGCATCAATCTTTGTAATGTAGTTATATTCTTTATCTCGAGTTTTCACGTTCCATACAACAGGTCTTTCGGGGTTCCTATCTTTTAAATTCCCCAGAATAGATTCACACTCCGCACTTCCTATCTCAAAGTAATGAGCCTCCTCTTTTCCAATTATTCGACTACACATATGCTCATTCTTTTTCTCAGCTCGACCAATCATTTGTCCGAGGCGTCTGAAAGCCGTCATGTTTTCGTATATCCCCTCGTCGTCGTTGTGCCGCTTTAGTTTTTCCAAGCCAGACATATCCATGTAAGTGCTACGCTTACACCTTTTATTCAATACTTCAATATGTTCTACTTCGGTGGATACAATTCTACTTTCTCTATCAAGGTTGTTTTTAATTTTAGTACGTAAAATACATCTTTGCTTCTGTTCGAGTTCCATTAGAAAACCAGGGATCGTTGGTACATTCTGAGGAGTTTTAACCATTTGTATACGTGGTAATTCCTCGTTTTTTTGTAAAGAATTCGCATTAGGTTTAGGATGATCTAATATCTTTTCTAATTGTTTACGAATGGGTTTAGGGAGTGTTTCGGGTGGTCGCCGCTTTGCTTTCTCTTTCACCTTTATAAAAGGGGAACTTTTTTCTAGTGTTGGAACAACAGGAATTTCTACAGGTAATGGAACTGTATCAGCTACGCTATCTAAAGTATTCTCCGTTTCCTCCTTATTCTCTTCGGCTGAAGAGTTTGATGGGTGTTCGGATATTTTACTCGATCTTCTAGAAGATATATTTGATAGTGGTGGACTTGGGAATAATCCTGGCGTGTCGCTAATTATATTTCTCCGAGATCTAACGTCAAAGAAGTCCATTTCTCTTTTATCGTGAAAGCATCCATTTCTGGAATGATTTTAACTTTATTTTACTTGATTTTAACTTAACTTTTTCTATCGTCAACTTCCCTTAATTATGCAGCAATTCTGAGTATAAATTCATCACCTGAATACGGAGTTTATATTTCTCAGTTGATCCGATACGCCAGAGAATGCTCAACGTATGAACAATTTCTAAAAGGAGGTAAATTACTGACAATCAAGTTGATGAAACAAGAGTATCAGCAGTCTCGGTTAAAATCATCATTTCATATTAAGTTCTATGGTCTATACAATGTCATTGTCAGCAAATACAATTTATCATTGAGTCAAATGCTGAATGACGTTTTTCATACTAATTGTTAGTCCATTATTTATACACTGAATTGACGACGGATTTTCCCGATCATGACAAGGAGCACATGACGGTTGTAACAGGTCGGCAGGGGATTCTCTTCCATGGCACCTAATTCCACCTCTGATGTATTGGAGGTCCGTGTTTGCCCTGCTCCTGTTTTATATTGTTTTATGGACTTTTGATCTTGAATACTGTTCGTCATCTCCATATATTTTATTTGAAAATACTTTTTCAATTTACCAAAAGAAGTTATTTAAAAGATGATAACAAAAAACGGCATGCACTTAAAATATGAGTGGTCAATTTATCATATATCGTGATGGTTAATTTCAGTCTCTCAATGTTAATGGCACCGTATATCAAGGAAATCCATTTAATGCCCATTGAATAATCAAGCTTGAACACGAGAGCAAATCAGTTAAAAATTGATCAAAAACCATTGCTTACATGTAAATATACTTGTGTATTACGAAGAAATATGTTTGAACCGAAACACCATTTATTTAGCATAGACGATTAAAATTCATATGTTGATTGCCTTATATTCTTTTTTCAAATATTTGATGTTTTCTAACAGCAGTAAAACGTCTAAATAAATTTAAATTTAACTTACTTTCTCAATAATTGCCAAATACCGAGAAATATCAGGATAATGACAATTTCTGCAGCAAAGACAGACAAAATGATAACCACTGGATTTTCTCGTTCAGGTACATCATCATAAGCTGAAATTGTATGGAAATTCATATCAAAATGTTTTGCAAGTTTTTATTGCAGTTTATAGAAATGCGATGACACCTTTTTGTTTAAGTTATACTTACATGTATGATATAAAGAAAATGTCATGGCTTCACCTTCAATAGATTCAAAAGCTCTTCAACTATATTGATTACAATTTTAAAATATGATATATAAAACTTCTGAATTGTTCGTTTCTCTCTTTATCTTTCCTCATCTTAGAACATTTTCAAAAATAAAAATCTGTATAAATACAAAACATTAAATCTAGGTAAACACCAAAATTAAATCTAGATAATCACCTACCTTCTACGTCCGTTCGGTTTGAAAAATCACATTTTCCACAAGTGTTGTCTTTGAACTTTATTTTAACAATTGGTTCTAAATTAAATTCAGAAAAGGAAAATCATGTTCTAACAATAGCAATATCTCAAATGTAAGCAATTTTATCAGCCTGTTGTAAAAAGTTTAACAAGATATGTTTGGTATGTACGCTTGGATTTTAAGCTTTCGTTCGTACTTGCAATAGTTACTAAGTAATATTTAATCGAAAAGTATTATCCTTACGCGTATCAATCCAGAATTCAGTATCTTCTTTTATTGGGCCTCTATGAAGACACAAGCGTTTGCTATTGTTATAATCTCCTTGATTTGAACTTGCTTAAAAAATATATAAAAAAAAGATTAGTATGAAGGGAACCATTTGAAAAAAGAAAATGTTAGTTATTACATAAAACAAACTACGATATACCAACCAGGCTCTTCGGCTGTACTATTGGGGCAAATAAATTTGAACTTTTGGTTCATACTTCTCCTCATGAACTTTACGAGAAAAACATCATCTGCCAAAAAAAAATACAAATATGATATAGGATTTATTTAATTTTTCTTTGATACCCTAAAATGAAAACATTTTTTTTTAAAACTATATTTCAAAAAATTATCTCAACAATATGTTATCTTATAATGGTGAATGCTTTTTCGAATTTTAAAATAACATCACTCCGTCTGTCTCTTTTTCTTAATACTTCTATTGTGACATTGTAAACTTCTTATCATTTCTTTTTTTTTAAAAATTATACAACAAGAGTTAACCACCAGAAGACAACACTTTTTAGCAGTGTGGATTTTTATTCTGTCTGAATGTCACCTGTTCTATTTTTATGCATTGTATAATTTTTTCGATGATTTAATCAAAATAAATTATATACATATTTTTATTGGGAATTATTAATATTTTCAACATTTTATTTAAAAAAAAAGCATACAGTGTATCTTCAAAAACCCTGACCAAGGGGACTAAAATAGGAGAGGTTCTTTTGGTCAAAATAATGTCAAGAGGCCCATGGGCCATATCGCTCACCTGCGCACTGTAGCTTGGAAAAAAGCAGAAATCACCTTATTGAAAAGTTTAAACCCAAAAATGGTCCCAACCAATCCTTAAAGGGGAAAGGGTATGATTTAAACAAACTTGAACCTACACTAACTAAGGATGCTTGCATATTTCTTTGACTATCTGTGGCTTTATTGCCCTTCATATTTGAACTTAACATTGTGGCCCCGCCCTACCCCTAAGTGGTCAAGACTTGAACAAAATTGTACATACACTACCTGAGAATGCTTCCACATGAATATGACTAAACATGGCTTTGGCATTCTTGATAAGAAGATTTTTACAATTTTTCCACATATTTCTATGTAAAACTTGGATTCCATGTTGTGGCCCCGTCCTACCCCCAGGGGTCATGATTTGAATAAACTTGAATCTACACTACCTAAGAATGCTTCCATATAAATATGACTAATCATCGCTTTGCTAGTCTTGAGAAGCAGATTTTTCAAGAATTTCCCTATAAATTTCTATGTAAAACTTTGATCGGCCATTGTGGCCCCGCCCTACCCCCCGGGGGGTAATAATTGCAAACCTGAATCTACGCTACCTAAGGATGCTTCCAGATGAATATGATAATTCATGCCTTTGCTATTCTTGAGAAGATTTTTAAAGAATTTCCCTATATATTTCTATGTAAAACTTTGATCGGCCATTGTGGCCCCGCCCTACCCCCAGGGGTCATGATTTGAACAAACTTCAATCTACACTACCTGAGGGTGCTTCCATATATATTTCATCTTTCCTGGCTCAGTGGTTCTTGAGAAAAAGATTTTTAAAGAATTTTCCTATATATTTCTATGTAAAACTTTGATCGGCCATTGTGGCCCCGCCCTACCCCTGGGGTCATGACAATCTTGAAGCTACACTATCTGAGGATGCTTCCATATAAGTTTAATCTATCCTAGCCCAGTGGTTCTTAAAAAGAAAACTTCTAAAGAATTTTCCTGTATATTTCCATATAAATATGACTAATCATCGCTTTGCTAGTCTTGAGAAGCAGATTTTTCAAGAATTTCACTATAAATTTCTATGTAAAACTTTGATCGGCCATTGTGGCCCCGCCCTATCCCCAGGGGTTATGATTTGAACAAATTTGAATCTACACTACATGAGGATGCTTCCATATAAATATGATCATTCATGCCTTTGCTGTTCTTGAGAAGAAGATTTTTAAATAATTTCCCTACATATTTCTATGTAAAACTTTGGTCGGCCATTGTGGCCCCGCCCTACCCCCAGGGGACATGATTTGAACACACTTGAATCTACGCTACCTGAAGATGCTTCCCTATAAGTTTCAAGTTTCCTGGCACAGTGGTTCTTGAGAAGAAAATTTTTAAAATATACCACCAAATTTTTACTATTCTGAATTATCTCCCCTTGAATAAGGGCGTGGCCCTTCATTTAAAACTTTAATCCCCTTTACCTAAGGATGCTTTGTGGCAAGTGTGGTGTAAATTGGCCCAGTGGTTCTGGAAAAGAAGATGAAAATGTAAAAAGTTTACAACGACGACAGACGACGGACAAATTTTGATCAGAAAAGCTCACTTGAGCCTTCGGCTCAGTTGAGCTAAAAACTTAAACATTGTCAAAATAACTAGACGTATTGCTGGAAATGGAGTACTTGTGACGTCATGTTTTGGATATAAACTTACTTAATTTAGAAAGAATTATATAATTTTAAAAAAATCAATTTTCGCAAGCAACGAATTGATCAAATAAAATACTTTTGCAAGAGTGTACCAAACTAGCATACAATTTGATTAATTCTGAGATAATATGTTGTTTTACATCCCATTCGAGAATTTTTCACTCATATAGCGACGTCACCCTATACCGAAGAAGAGCTTTATTCGACACACAGGGTCATTGAGCAGTGAAGGATCCTTATCGTGCCTGCCGCGACACGGGGCATCGGTTTCTTAGGTCTCAACTGAAGGACCAGTAACTTTTGCTTCAAAGTGCCGAGGGCATGGCGAAGGAACCATTGCTACCTTTTTTATCGACTTAGGTCAGTCGCGGCCGAGATTCGAAATCACGACCTTCCGATCACACAGTGAGCGCTCATGAAGTATGTGAGATGGGATTATATTTATAGTATGTAAAATTGGTCTTGTAGTGATCTGTACGCAAGAACATGTACCACGCATGAACAACTTGAAAATTATGGCAAACTTTTGACAAACAAGTTGATGAAACAAGGATATCAATAGCCTCGTTTGAATTCTAAATTTCACATGTTGTTTGGTCGATAGAAGGACTTTGTCAGCAAAAACCTATATAAAAGTTAAATTCCATGCTAATTGTTAATAATAATTAACAAGATTTAATGCCTACGGATGTGTCCGTTTTCCCGATCATGACAAGGAGCACGCTGGTCGACAGGGGATGCTCATTCCTTTATCGAGCTCAATCCCATGTCTGATGTGTTCAAATGGACTTTGAGCTGAAAATTGTTCGTTATCTCGCTATTTCGATGTAGCTTACATGACTTACACCCACAGAATGATGGAAACTCTCAGAAATTGTTATCGATAAAAAAAAACTATTCAATGATGTGTTCTTTTTATTTTATTTTATCATGACATTTCAAAGAATAAGATCTCCCCGAGATCGGATAATCGTTGGTTCGAAACCCAGCCGCGAATGACCCCTAAGAAAAACAAGCTAGCATTCTGAGAGTATTGCATGAGGAATACATATCCCATACTACATTTTCCCTTCTCTCTTTATGATCTCGTTTTATAATACCCTTTTCATCAAAAAAAAAAAACTACAAAATGTGGAAATTTGTTTATCATGTCTTAGAAATTAAAGGTGCACAGACACAGATTTGAATTTAATAATTTCTGTATAATATCACGACTTGTATATTGTCATTTCATCTAAAAGTTATTTAAACTTCAAATTTTTGGAGTTTAGTTGGCACATCCTTGCACTTTCACAAATTTTAATTTTATTCTTAATACTTAGGAAAAGTGACAATCTTGTTGCACAGACAGATAGACGGGCGGACAGACGCAGAGGAAACCTATAGTCCCCTCCGGTTTCACCGGTAGGGGATTAATGACAAATACATATGTAAGTAGCAACTGCAGTCTTGCCAAGCAATTAGTACTTTGAAGAGCAAAGGTCAAGTTTTTAGACGAAAATTTAAAAATCTAGCTCTGTATCAGGACAGGCCTTGGTTAAATAAAACCATTCATTGCTCAAAGTGTATATGATCGACAAATATTCGAAGGGGATGTACAAAACATATTTTATCAATAATAGTCAAAACATATAACGAACGCACATGTATAACATATGGGGCGCCGTTTTAGTATTTACTGCCAAAAAGTGATATCAAATATTCGAATAGGTGATATCACCTATTCAATTGGTGATTTCTCTTATTCGAATAAGTGATTTCACCTAATCAGATTTTGAATAGGTGATATCATCTATTCGAAAAGGTGATATCTCCTATTTGAATTGAATTGGTGATATCACCTATTCCTTTCGAATAGGTGATATCACTCATTAGAATAAGTGATATCACCTTTTCAAATTGAATAGGTGATATCACTTATTCGAAAAGGTAATATCACCTATTCAAATTATTTATGAAATAACAACAGCTCCAAACATAGTAAGACCCTAAATCTTATTTACTTTCACTTTCGTTTTGTAACTCATTATTCCAGGAGACAATAGATTACAGTTTTGCAATTAATTTAAATCAACCCCAATAGAAATTGTACTTTGTTTTCTCACAAATTAATTTATTTCACTTATCTATCATGTTAACTTTAAGAAAAATTGGAAAAAACGCATGAAAACTGCGTAGTCCGAATTTTCCTGGTTCCAGTGGTAATTTATATATTATAGGTAGCATTCATTATTTAATGTTGTGAGAAAATCAAATAGGTGATATCACCTATTCGAATTGGGGATATCATCAATTCAAATTGAAAAGGTGATATCACCTATTCAGCACGAATAGGTGATATTGCTTATCCGAATAGGTGATATCACCTATTCATTTCCAATAGACGATATCACCTATTCGAATAGGTGATATCACCTAAGTATTGAAAATGAATAGGTGATATCACCAATTCGAATAAGTGATATCACCTATTCGAATAAGTGATATCACATATTCAAATAGGTGATATCACTTTTCGCTGTTAAATACCAAAACGGCGCCTCATAATAACATGACTACCTGTTTATGAAACAGTGACATGTCTTTTAATAGTGACCGATGAAACAATGACGTCTTTAAATAGTGACGAATACCTGATTTGATCAGTTTTATTTTTATTTTCGACAAAGTAATTTCACGAGCAAGGATGGGACTGTTGAGTGAGCAGTTCTCAATTTCCTTTTCACATTCACTGTTGTCCACTACAGCTTGAAATATGTTGGAAAATCCTGTAAAATATATACCAGAGTTGTAATAAGACACATTGATTTAGGAAGAATATATTGTGTAATTTAAGAATAATGTATTTTTTCTTGAATTGTAAATTATATTATAAGGCCATATTGACCCCTTTTTTGGTGCATATTGACACGAGTTGGCCAACGAATTTTTACTTTCACCTATATATATAAGTTCAAAACTCCTTTATTAGATAGCATCTACCAAGATTATTATTTCAATTAAATCTTAATTAATAAGAACGTTTTACCAATTTATCAATGTGTGTAATGACTGTAATCAAAATGAAATTGCAGCTTACACTAAAGAAAATAGCAAGTATAACTAGGAAGTCTGCTATTGCAAGCAGGAGCGTATGTCGCCCCGAACTGGACAAGACGGTCATTTTCAGCCGGGCTTATTGCTCAAAGAGCAATTGCCGGCTTATGTTATCCTGTTCAAGGCAGGATGTTAACCCCATAGTCGCCATTTCAAAGTTACGTGCAAAAATATAGTTCTTACTCTCAACCGCTTTTGAAATAATACAAACGCTAAATAAAGCAACAAAAATAAAACGAAGTTTTATCTATATAAAATAAACATTAGTAGTAATGACTTTGAAAACTTCATAAGTCAAAAGAACATAGTTCATTAGCGTAAGGATTTTTGATAATCAGTGTTACCGTAGTTCTATACACATACGAGGTAAAGCAGGAGGGGGAACCAGACTGGCCTGTTTGTTTACATTCAGCTGCGGTACCAGATTAATTCTGATTCTGACAAAATCGGACCGTGGTATTAGGATTGAAAAACTCACTGTCAGTATATTGATAGTTTTAAAATAATTTTTTCATCAGAATATAAACGTGATTCATGTAAGAAATCCATTCTACTCTGTAAATGAGCCCGGCTCTCTGTACTTCTGAGTACTTTGATTTGTATCACTAAAACAATACCCATTAGCTGAGCTTGGACAACCACCAATTCGTATCAGTCCTTTCAGTACTTTGATTTGAAAATCAAAGTTTAAGAATTTTCACTTTCCCCCTGTTTCCATGGCAACTATTGACAATTTGCAATTTTTAAATGCAACACGCACAATTACAGAATCAATAAAGTTTCCTGACGAATATCCAAGGGACCAGAAAGAACACTCGCGGACAAAATTCGTCACTTTTTGCAGGTTTCCATAGCCACGGTAGTCATTTTGAAATTGAATGACCACACAACACAACTACAACCAGTGATCCTCCTTTGAGGAAAGTTTCAGGAATATTGTCCCAGCCATCTCCGAGAATCTGCCCGTAGAACAAAAACATGGGTACAATCGCAATATTTCGCCCGACTTTGTTCGGGGCGACATAAAAACACCACTTGTAAATGAATTGGGTAGGTCACATGATAAAATACTATGACAGTCATAGGATCTCTAAGAAGCCGACCCACTACATTTTCCAGTGAAGTTTCAAAACTGATAAATTCACTGATATTTTAAGTTTAGACGGACGATCAAGTATATTTGCACTTGGCAAGGAGTAGTTGGCTTGGAAAGCGGTTAAAGGATTCTGTTTTGAAGGGAGCATTTGTGAATGGATACTTCTGATTAGTAATAATGAGCAATTTGTTGCCTGGGAAGTTCTGTATTCGTAAGGATTGACATTCGATTCTGAAAAGTCACAGGAAACACGTCTAGAATTTGAGAATAAAAAAGTTAAAAAACTTCGGTCAAAAGGGGATGGCTAAAGACTCGTCCGTTTTACTTGAACTATCGAATTTGATTTTTAAAAAACAATTAATTTTCGATCTCCGTAAGTTATATTTTATATTATGATGTAGACACAGAGACACTTTTACAGATTACATTATATTGCATTATTGTTTAGACAACGTTCTCAATGATTGACGTATGCTTACCGAAGTGTTTTTCAGCGTTTTGTGGCGTGATTGCATTGCAATCGAGTGTAAAGATGATTGAAGAAAATATAAAAATATTCACAGTTTATGCAATCTCTACCCAGAGTTATCGTTCCACGAACGGAAAGCGGAGACACGTGGATTTTTTTCACATGTAATGTTGTTCAAAATTGCCCAAAGGAAGGTTCTAGTTTTAACACTTCTGTATATATGTTAATGCTGCAAGTTTTTTGTCTTTTTAAAGAACTCTATAAACATTTACATTTCGGAGGTATTGTAAAGCATAATCAATATCAATAATGTCTATGTTTTAGCAGTATTTGTCTCAGTAGATGTATAGTCACGTAATACATGTCAGCTGTTTGTAAGGTATATTTTTAAAAGAAATGACAAACCTAACTCTGTAAAAAAAAAAAAAAAATGCACGCCGTAGTGACGGTGCCCACGCGACACAAAATTACATTAGTTTTCGTATATTAATAACATACATGTAACTGCAAAAGTGTCTCAATATGTAGCTTATAAAAAGGTTAATAACGAAAAGGGACTTGAACTAAGTTTTGATATTTTTAGATTAAGTGTTTTGGTATTCTGGATTTCGATTATTTGTATTTTGCTTCATTTAAATAGAAAAATATATAGAAGTGGGGGGGGGGGGGTACTGATTATCAAGATGTACAATTATGACTACCAATGAACAAGTTTATATCAAGAATTTAATTTCAAACTAGAGACAGTCCTTTCCTATTTTCTGTTGATCTCCTCTCGACTTTGACCGTTGGTCGATCGTTTACAGCCGACATTATTGCAATGACTGCGCATTGCTTAGAAAACAAAACGCACAGATCTCTATAGCTGGCATGGATTAACTATGTAAATCATACACATAACATTTCAATGTAGTGTAATATTTATTTCTACAAGTCTAGAAAATCATGCCTGTTATACAGTACTACTACATTGTACTACTAAATTCTGGGATCCCTTCCCGGAAATACGTGTTTTGTTTTGTTTTTACCTCCCGCTTGAAAATCGGGAGGGGTATAGTAATCGATATGTCCACCCGCCTGTCTGTCTGTTACGCTTTGGGGTACCCGTCTCTTATCCACATATCATATTATACCACTGAATGAAATTCAATGAAACTTTCACAGAACCTTAATAACATACTGCCATTGTGACCTTTTATTTTACTTCTTGATCCGACACATGTTTTGGGTTTCTAACGGCAAAACATAAAAGAGAGGTATCCCCAAAGCATAACAGACGGACGGACACCCCGATCACTATATACCCTCCCACTTTTCAAGCGAGGGTAAAACAAAATCTAAAATCAAAGAAAATTGAAAAAGGCATATCATATAAACCCGAAATAGGGAGTAAATAATATGTTCGTAAAAAAGACCCAACATTTATAGCGCCGTCATTTGTTGGAATGGAAAGGGGGAGTTCTGTTGAAAGCTTTTGCATTGCCAAAAAAAAAATTCCAACTATATAAACAATAGGTTCAATTTTTCAAGTACTCACATCATTTCATCTGGATGAATAAAGTTTTGTAGACTAGCGTGTTTGGTACAATCGTATGTTAAAAAATTATATATTTCTGAAAATATTAAAACTATTTCAAACTATCAACGATATATGAATTGAAAGATAGTTCAAAATGGTTTACTGGAATATTGGCAGGATTAAGTAAATAGTTTTCGGTTAAGAGAATTTACAGATTTCATTTAACGTAACGTTAAAATCAGTAACGTCGTGATGACGTCGCTACGTCAAAAGTTGTAATTATTGAAGAAAATGCACCATTTTCCTAAACCTCTGGCGGTAAAACGGTAAGAGATAATTCCAAAAAATAAAATGATTTTGAAAGGGCACATTGTGGGCATGTTTGTAAAAAAAACTTCAATCAAATTTAGAGACAGGGCCGCCTCGTTATACATACCGTACCCAGTTCTTTAAAACCATGTTTGTCTATGTTTCCATTGCGTTTCAAATTTTCCTCGTACATAATATCCTGCCGAGAATCCCTTGTAACATATATGTCGAATTAGCTAGTATATCGATTGTCAATTTTCATTGATAAACTTAAATAAAATTTAATTTAAGATTTAATGTAAGAATACAAAACTTTATAATTAATAAATTATTTATTGCAGTTGGTAAAAGTAAGTAAATCCAAGAGTATTGGCATTTAGGCATTGACATTTTTGTTGTAGCGAGGCGTAATATACCCTCTGGTGAGAGGTTGGTGTTTCTGATGTGGATTTAACTTGATTAACTATAGGAAAAACAAAGGATACACGTTGAGGCTGTGCAGCTGACGTGAAACGAGATTTATCCTATGAAATGAAATGAAATTTGATATACAGATATATCAGATGAATATGTAGGTCCGGTTTTGTTTTGGGTACGATCGAGAAATTTTTGACAGAGTCATGCCCCTGGGACTTAGCAAAATTCCAACTATTTGCAGTTTCTGTTCACTTTCTTTGCATAGGTTGCACATACTGTAATAGAATTTCGTATACAGATTTGTTATATAAATATTTAGGTCAGGTTGTGTTTTGGGTACGATCGAGAAATTGTTGACAGAGTTATGCCCCTGGGACTTACAAAAATTCCAATTATTTGCAGTTTCCGTTCATTTTCTTTGCAGAGGTTGTACATACTGAAATGAACTATTATTATTATCATTATTATTAATATCTAAGTCAGGTTTTGTTTTGGGTACGATCTGGGACATAGTCATGCCCCTTGGACTTAAAACATTCAAATCATTTGGGGGAGGGGCATAAGTGTTTTACAAACATTTCTTGTTTTATTTGCGATTTTTTTTTTTTTTTACATTTTAATACATGAACAGCATGCTTATAGGATAGAACAATTCTTTTTAGCTCACCTGAGCTGAAAGCTTTAGTAAGCTTTTCTGATCACCCGTTGTCCGTCGTCTGTCTGTAAACTTTTCACATTTTCTATTTCCTCTCAAGAACCACTGGGGCAATTTTATCCAAACTTGATACAAAGCAACATTAATTTTGGTGATGTGGAGTTTAAATTGTTAAAATGAGGGACTACGTCCACTTACAAGGGAAGACAATCAAGAAGAGACAAAAATAG